CGCATCAGCATCAGCGCATCAGCATCAGCGCATCAGCATCAGCACAGCGCTACAGCATCAGCATCAGCATCAGCGCATCAGCATCAGCATCAGCATCAGCGCATCAGCATCAGCGCATCAGCATCAGCGCATCAGCATCAGCATCAGCGCATCAGCATCAGCATCAGCATCAGCATCAGCATCAGCATCAGCATCATCATCAGCATCAGCATCAGCATCAGCATCAGCATCAGCGCATCAGCATCAGCGCATCAGCATCAGCGCATCAGCATCAGCATCAGCATCAGCATCAGCATCAGCATCAGCGCATCAGCATCAGCGCATCAGCATCAGCGCATCAGCATCAGCATCAGCATCAGCATCAGCATCAGCGCATCAGCATCAGCGCATCAGCATCAGCATCAGCGCATCAGCATCAGCATCAGCGCATCAGCATCAGCGCATCAGCATCAGCGCATCAGCATCAGCATCAGCATCAGCATCAGCATCAGCATCAGCGCATCAGCATCAGCGCATCAGCATCAGCGCATCAGCATCAGCATCAGCATCAGCATCAGCGCATCAGCATCAGCGCATCAGCATCAGCATCAGCGCATCAGCATCAGCATCAGCGCATCAGCATCAGCGCATCAGTTCTCAGCATCAGCATCAGCATCAGCATCAGCATCAGCGCATCAGCATCAGCGCATCAGCATCAGCACAGCGCTACAGCATCAGCATCAGCATCAGCGCATCAGCATCAGCATCAGCATCAGCGCATCAGCATCAGCGCATCAGCATCAGCGCATCAGCATCAGCATCAGCATCAGCATCAGCACATCAGCATCAGCATCAGCATCATCATCAGCATCAGCATCAGCTCAGCATCATCATCAGCATCAGCGCATCAGCATGAGCATCCGCATCAGCATCAGCATCAGCATCAGCATCAGCGCATCAGCATCAGCATCAGCATCAGCATCAGCATCAGCATCAGCGCATCAGCATCAGCGCATCAGCATCAGCATCAGCGCATCAGCATCAGCATCAGCGCATCAGCATCAGCGCATCAGCATCAGCGCATCAGCATCAGCATCAGCATCAGCATCAGCAACAGCATCAGCATCAGCATCAGCGCATCAGCGCATCAGCATCAGCGCATCAGCATCAGCGCATCAGCATCAGCGCATCAGCATCAGCATCAGCATCAGCATCAGCGCATCAGCATCAGCGCATCAGCATCAGCATCAGCATCAGCATCAGCGTCAGCATCAGCATCAGCATCAGCATCAGTATCAGCATCAGCATCAGCATCAGCATCAGCGCATCAGCATCAGCGCATCAGCATCAGCGCATCAGCATCAGCGCATCAGCATCAGCACAGCGCTACAGCATCAGCATCAGCATCAGCGCATCAGCATCAGCATCAGCATCAGCGCATCAGCATCAGCGCATCAGCATCAGCGCATCAGCATCAGCGCATCAGCATCAGCATCAGCATCAGCATCAGCGCATCAGCATCAGCGCATCAGCATCAGCATCAGCGCATCAGCATCAGGATCAGCGCATCAGCATCAGCCGCATCCTTCAGCATCAGCATCAGCATCAGCATCAGCGCATCAGCATCAGCGCATCAGCATCAGCGCATCAGCATCAGCGCATCAGCATCAGCACAGCGCTACAGCATC